CCAAAGCAACGGTATGGCCGCTGGCATGATCTAAAACGCGCACGGTTATGAAATGGGTCGACCCATTGGACGCACTGTCGACCCAAATCTAAAAGGGGCGGACGGCAGGCGGGCGGCCGACCCAAACAAACAAAAAATAGGTAAAAACACTGTCCGTTTGGATCGGTCCGTTGAAGTTGCTCTAACGCAGTTGAATGTACTCGTCCGCCTGAGAAACCTGCCCACGTGATGAGCGTGAGCCGTGACCAAATCGAGTTGCTGTCCACTTTTCTTCATCGACGTGTCGCCCCACTGCCACAGAATCCCTTGCTCCTTCCCACCTTGCTTCACACGTAAAACCATCTTTGTCCTTCTCTTGTTTCTTGCCCTCCTCCCACCGCCGGTCGCTTGTTCTTATTTCTTGTCCCCCTCTCCTTCACCATGGCAATTCCACCGTTTCTTGTCCCCCTCTTCATTTAACCAGTGATTTGCCATGTGGATTTTCCATGAAGAAATTTATGCATATGCTAGGGGGGAGTTGTCACGCGAAATCACATAGACTTGTCATGAGATTTCAGGACATGCGATTGCCCTATTCGATTTGACCTAAAAACATACAAGAGTATATTCCCTCGGTACCGAAATATGTGTCGTTGAAGCAATTGTAGTTTAACTTCTCCAGCGACATATATTTCAGTAAGAAGGGAGTATTTAACAGAAATTTGCTATGACATTGTATGTAAATGTGCCATGTATAAAAAGGTGTGTTAAGCTGTGTGAGAAAACTGCATGAGATGAATAGACTCTCATATGATATTGACATATAAATGTGTGTTTTGTACTGCTCAGAATTGTCATCGTATTGTTTGTGAAAATGCGGCTGTAGTAGATTTTTTTACTGTTCATAGGATGCAGATGAGCCCGGGCTCAGAAATGAATATTCAAGTGCATGATAGCCTATCATATGATAATGGCATACTAGTGCGTATGTTGGACATTGATTTGCCATGGCAGTCAAAATGATTAGCCATATGGACATGTGTGAAAATGCCATTTCAATCTATGGGGAAAACATATCATGAGAGGTAAATTTGCATGACTTTTAGTTTATATTGCCATGTGATACTGAGGTATGTTGCCAATAAAATATGAAAAAAGAAGAAAAAACACAATAATTACCACCATAAGGGCATGTCCAACGGGGAGGCGTTGAGTAGACGCTCGATAAAGGGGAACAAATAAAAGCATCTACACTAGCAGGGCACCCTCCAATGCAAAGTGTTATTCCATAGGCGCTTAGACAACCAAATTGCACTAATAGAGCACCTAAGCATCTGGGGCAAATTAAAGTGTCGGAAGCCAGCTTTGGATTGGAAATAAAACACACACTAGCAAAACTACCGGGATTGTTTTTCCTAGTGCCCACTTAAGCGTCCCCATTGAAGATGCCCTTACCCTCACTTAAAAGCTAAACATATTATAATTCAGAAATGACGAGTATCTGACATACTTGTTTGGAACCTTTTGCCATTACCGATGAACGAACTTTGCATGAGAGAGACGACATTGCTATATGCATTATTTGGCCCTCGCTTAACATGTTTTTGATTTTTGTGATTGTTTGCAGTTGCAAAAAAGAAGATGGATACAAGAGGTAGCAGCCAATTGTGGATGAATGTCTGGTGGGTCGTGCCACTGTTGACATACGCGCAAGCAATGGTGACATAGTTTGACGCTTTGGACTTGTCTTATCCCATGCTACCCCTCCTGTTCCATATCTACCGAAGTATTAGGTGGTCACATATGCTATATTTTGCCATGTTTGTTTAGATTGTCGTTTGCTGTCGTGCAACAAAAAAGAGACCGAAGATGCCATTTGAACACTCATTGCAAACTAACTAACCTATTTTGTGGAGGCTCTCATGAGTTCCATGATTTCGGGGTCTAATCCCGCGACAACATTCACTGGTAAGAAAGATGTACTTTCGAAGAGCTACATGAAAAATAATTTCCATGAACTGTGAGTACATGTTACCATGCATTACGAAAAAGTTATTATCAACTAACAAAAGTATGTAATTTGGCATAATCACATTGCAATAATTTCCATGGACTATGTGAAAGTGCGTTATATCGACTAGAGAGGGTGAATAGGCAATTTTTACAAATTCGTCACTGAGGAATTTCAGGGTGAGGAAATTCCTAAGCAACGAACTACTTAGCAGCGGAATAATTACTCAGATGCAAGCATAACAGAGTAGTAGCACAATCATCATGATGAAATGAAAACAAGCACATAGTACAAGTAGCGTAAACACATGATAAGCAGGCTAAAGACAAAATGACTGAAGAATTAGGATTGAGAAAATTGAGAAAGTCTTCAGTCAAAGTCTTCAAACAGTAACGATCAAGTACTTCTACACAGAAATGAGGAAATGAAAGGTTGGGGAAATAGAACCAGTAGCTTGGTGAAGACTGTGATTTGGTAGACCAGTTCCAACTGTTGTGACAGTCGTACGTCTGGTTGGAGCGGCTAGGTATTTCTGAGGACACACAGTCCCGGACACACAGTCCTCACCGTATTCTCCTTGAGCTAAGGTCACACAGACCTCGCCTAATCACTCGTGGTAAGTCTTCAGGTGACTTCCAAACCTTCACAGACTCCGTCACTCGGCGATCCACAATTTCCTCTTGGATGCTCTAGACCATGACGCCTAACCGTCTAGAAGATGCATAGTCCTTAAAGGTAACAAGCGTCGGTTCCACACAGGAACAATATCTTCAGTGATGCTCAATCACTTTGGGTTTGTAGGTGGTTGGTTTGGATTTTCCTCACTTGATGATTTTTGCTCAAAGTACTCGGAGGATGGGATGCTCTTAATGACAAGTGTCAGTATCTCTCGGAGCAGCCAACCAGCTAGTGGTTGTAGGGGGCGGCTATTTATAGCCTAGGGAACAGCCCGACATGATAAGATATAAATGCCCTTTAATGATATGACCGTTAGGTGGGTTGATAGTTTGGGACAGCTGGCACATAGCACAGCAACGGTCAGAAATTTGGCTATCAAATTCCTTAGGGCTATCATGTTCCTCACTTGTAGGCAATCCGCACCGGTGAACCCCTGACTCCTCAGTCAGAACAAGTTCCTCAGAGACCAGAAGATATTTGTCTCTGTCACTGAAGAAATTGACTGAACTATATGAGATTTC